ATCACCAACACCCTCTAGTTCAAATACAAAAATCTGGGCAGTGCCAATAGAAGACAATCATTTGCAGATCTTGTTGCAGGAAAGTGAGGGCAAAAACAAACTGGTGAAAAATGTTCAAAAGTAGATCTTTTTGATGTTCTTGTTCATAGCCAGCTTTCGGTATTTCTGTATTGTTTATAATTGGGGGAAAATGTCTGTTAAGGCTAATTTTCTGAGTGGTTTATGAGTACCATAACAAGGGGAAAGCGATTTTAAGCCCTGGTTTATGCTAGTTCCCTGTTGCTCAGGAAGGATAGTAGTATTTCTTGGTTTTTGAAAACAACCTATCATTTATGTTGCCTCTTCCAGGGAAGGTTTAACAGTACAAGGAGCTCAATCCTACCTAAAATTATTAACGCTTAATAGCTTCTGTTTGATGAATAAAGGTGCTTAATCAATTTTAAAAAACCACAATTCTTCAACGTAAAATTCTGTTGATGCTGAATTTAAACAGATACTAAAAAAATGTGTCAGTTCTCCTGTTGTATTTTACTCAGTTATGAAAGCAAAGCTATTTTGTCAGTTTAGATTTTGTGTCTTTTTCTGTCAGTATGTATGGCTCCCTAAAGTGTACTATTAAAAGCATCTTAAATGAACTAATCAAATACTGTGTGAAAGCTGAATATTTTAAAAAGCAGCCTTAATTATAAACTAATCTTGGAGTAACATGCAAATGTGTTAGTTATTTTAAAAACATATTCTTAAGTAGAGAATAGCCCCAGAATTGCTACAACATATGGAAGGAAAGTCAGTATACACACATGTAACTCAATAACTGGTTTTTATTCTTTATACATGGGCTTTGCAACGATATGACACCTGCTAACAACTTACAGTATTAATTTTTTAGAAAAACAAAACAGGTATATGGCATGAGTGAAACAGGTCCCCATCAAAGACACTTAAAATCTATGGTACGGCTAATACGATGTAAAATATTAAGTACCTTGAGGGTCTTCAAACTTGCGCTTCGTAACAGTTTGGAAGTCATGATGATATTAAGTCTGAAGCTAAAGGAACTCCAATTTCTTGGTATGGTATTGAATAAAGATTCTTATCTTTTGAGAGAAACAGCCCAAACAGAAGTGTGTGAAAGCAGTTAATTTCCCCTCCTATGATGATAAAGCAAGAGGGCAGATTATATTCATGAACACTTCTCATGTACAAAAAATTCCTGCCTAACAGAAAGAAGAGTATTTACCAGTTTATCTTTAAAAAGAAAATGAGTAATTTTGGAGAAAGGTAGCTTGGTTCATTCAACTACAGGCTATGGCTACAAAGCAATGAAATGGACTTCTAAAGAGAAATTGCTCAATTGCTTTTATACTAAACATTAAATGCAACCGACTAATGCAATAGAAAACTATATAATACAAGTTGGAACAAATGGAAATTGTCTAGTGAGAATGTACATGAATCTGGTTTTCTTGGAATTTTCACTGTATGTTTTTTTTAACTTTTAAAACCTGAAATGAAAATTCTGCAGGACTTAACATGTGTACAGTTCTACATTTCTATAATGTCTTAATAGAAAAATAAAAGGGAACATTGGTATGAATGAAACTCTCATACAAATCACACCAACATAGCAAATGGCATATGTGAACTGGTCCTCACTACAAAGTACCTACAGACAGAATAATCAGTGTTTTTCCTAAGAAATTATAAATTCTAACGCATTTATTTTACAGACATGATACAACATATACATTCATAATTTGATTCCACCTCAGATTGTTTACCTAGAGGACCCACTGCCTATGGCAATGCAGATGAAATGGCAAACAGGACAGATATATAGACCCTTGAGTTTCTTCTAGAGATGGACAAGTGGGTTTTTTTGTTTTTTTAAAAAGGGGCCAGGTAGCAAATAGAGGCTTTGCAAGCTAAGACAAAATGAAGGACACTACTTAGCTACTCAAAATTTTTCACAAAATTTTTATTCTAAAAATTGAAAACTCAAAACATCGAGTACAATTTTTTATAGTAATAGAAGTCCACTAATGGGGAAAAGGTGTTTTTTGGAGGTAACATTTTGGTCAATTTGGGCTGAAAGCTAGTATTCCCTCATCAGAATCAACTGAAAATGTTAATCTGTTAATGCTGATCTGTAATGAGATTTCACACATTTCATCTTCACAAGTGTCTTTTCACACAAATATTTTGAGGTACTGTTAGATACTAACACATACACCCATGAGCCTGTGATTTTACTTAACCATATTCATCACTTGTAAGGCAATTGTAGGATTCATCTTTTTGGTATTTGCCCTTTAGCATGTCATTCATTCAAGATGATTCATTTCCAACAGAAGATTAAAAGGAAACTCTTCAACTGCAGTTCAATGCTTTTAAAATTTAAGAATTTTCTTTGCACTGCATCAAGGTCCAAAAAACTGCTATAGGAAAATATAACCACTAAAAATGGATGTGGCAATACAGTGCTCACTGTTTTGACTTTTGATAGCACAGGAAGTATATAAAGCAGCTTGACAATCTTATGATTTAAATTTTAGTTTTTATTGAAATGAGTTTCCCATAGTATATTATGTTGTTCGGTGAAATTTATTAAGAAATATTTCGTAAGTCTGTGGCAAAAGTTAATTTCCAAAGCCACTCAGTTAAAAAACAGTGGTTGAGGACAGTTCTTCTCATTCAGAAAAATTTCAATGTGAGCCCAAAATAATCAAAATAAATCTTTAGCACTGCTAAGCCACTGAACGTCTGTGTGGTAAATCTAATCAGAATATTCAGCTTCTGTTTCTCACAAAAATGAAGTTCAGTCACACAAGTAAAGTTCAGTGTTGACCACTTCAGTAACACCAATATTTCCTGCAAAGTACTTGCTGATGAATAATAAAGTGAATAGCTATAGGTTTTAAACAACTTACATTTTCACAAGCTTTATAAATTTGACCAAATAAACTTTTTTCTGGTCCATGCATTTTTTTTTTTTTTTTTTTTTTAATAACCACCATCAGTTGCATCACATCTTAGTAGGTTCCACTTCAGGTTGTACTGTCTCTCAACTTTTTTTGAAAATATTCCCACTTGTAGTTCCATACAAATTCTTCAGTCACTTCAAATCCAGCAATGGTTTCTCAAAAAATGAAGCTAGACAGTACTGAAGTTAAATAATAACACTTGGTGTCATTTGATGTTGTGTCCAAAGTCTTCATTCTTCAAACTACTATTCTCATCAAAAGGCTGATGTCTTATCTTCTCTGGACACATTTCTTTGGGTTGGTTACTATCTTCAAGCATGATAGAATTCAGCATTAGTAAATGGTTTTCTTTGCTTGGCTAACTACTTAACACACTTGTAAACATTTTAGTTGCGGCCTCATTTTTCTTATTATTTTTGTGAAATTATGCTGTGACGTTTCATTCAAATTTTCTAATTCTTATGTTGCTTTCCCATGAATTGAGAATATTTTGATGTTAGTCCGATACTGTCAGTCTATTCTTTTAGCAGTTATGGTGTCACTGCATTATAAACAAAATGTACGACCACATAATAAAATAGTCCACGTTCCAGTGTGCCTTAAATGCATAACATTAGAAGTGTACTTTCCTTGTTCTGAGATCCGGGGCATGAACTGGTAGTAGGAAAAGTAATAAATGTAGCAATATACAGGACATTCCAAATGCTTTCAGGTCATATCTGCATCACTGTGATTCTGTAGCTTGCCAAGCAGCAATGTGAAACGAGACAGACATAAACAGGTTCTGTAGCAGCTACTCATCTTTTCCGTTGTAGCAAAAATGTATCCATAGATAATATGTAAATGATTGTAGCTGCATTCCAATAAAAACTTGTAGACACTAAAATTTGAATTTCATGTAATTTTCAGACGCCAGGAAATATTCTTTTGATTATTTTTCCCAACGATTTAAAACAAAAAGCCATTCTCAGTTCATGGGCCATATAAAAACAAGCAACAAGCTGATTCTGGCTTGCTTTAGTAGATTTAACAGAAGATATGAGTCTGTAATTAATGGCTCAGGAACACTAAAAAAATTACCAGCCAAATATTTCAAGTCTAAAACCTAGACTCTATAAACATGCAGCCTGTCTGGAACAAAATAAAAAAGTAAAGCCTAGACCCAGTAAGTCATAATGGTCCTCTACAGAAGTTACAAAATACTGTACAAGTGCTCAAATTAAAATGAGGTTACATCTGAAAAAATACCAAAATGCATTTAATACAGGCAGCAGCATACAGTCCAATTTACAATGGTTCAACTTAAAAATTTTAACTTTGCAATGGTGCAAAAGCAATACACATTCAGTAGAATGTGTAACCCATCGTAGGTCCTAAGGAGTTCCTAAACTTTTGATGGGGTTACACCCACCGTCAATACACCCACCGTAAAGTTGAAAAATCATTAAGTTGAAAGATAGTAAGTTAGGGATTCTCTATACTTTTTAGGGACAGAAGCCAGAACTGACATAAGTTATGAGCAATTATGTGGCTACTAAAAAGACAAACTTTATCATTCCTATTTCAAATCCAGCATTGATTTCTCAACAAATAGTTGAACTATTAGCTAAAAAAAATGTAAATGTTAGTTTTCTCAATAAAAACTAACAAATCATAAGCAAAAAGAATCTTCATTTTTAACTAAGACAAAACAAAGCCAGAAACTTGCTACCTTGTGTTAGATTTTTTTAAAAGCCACAGTTATATCAAATGTATTTACTTTGTAAGTATATCCTTCAGAATAAATGCATTCCTGGAAAGGAGAAATAAAAGTCAGTCCTTAATTAGCTAGTTGAGGTACTCATAAAGAACAAGAATAAGCCCACACTTGAAATGCAGAAAGGTTAGACTGATTTTTCAATTAATGGACTAATAATCATCTAGGGTTAATGAAGAAAGTTACTGAAAGAGTTGCCCAAATAAAAAAGAATATCCCCCAAATGAGTATTTCCAAAACAAAATCACCAGTCATCAACATTTATAAGAAAACATTTTTGAAGCCTTTATTTACAAAAGCTTTAAAAACAAATAATACCCTCTGTTTTGCAAATAATGTTTTGTTTAAAAAGGACCACCCAGTTACAGCACTGTAATATCATGAATAAAGAATGTACAAGGGAGACAAACCAATGTAACATTTGGAGATTTGCTAATATTACTGATTGTAAGTGTAGGTAACACACATTATAACTTGTAGTCCATCATTTCAAGGTAGAGTTAATGATTATTGAAAAGTCTTCCTACACATGCTCTGGTCTGGTCACATATTCTGCATGACTAAATATTTCACAGTCTCTTTTGTCAATATATATAAAATAGATTGCAAAGATATACACAAAAAAATAAACAAGCATTACACTCCTCAGGTAATTTTATTAGCTATATACGTATATATATATATATGAGAATATATATATATATATATTGGGTTTTGTTGTTTTGTACCAAATCTCTCCATTATTTACTTTCGTAGCAAGCACAATTTTTGTTTTCTAATTTAATTTGGTACAAAATATACTTAAAGACTTATCTTTGGATTTTAATAAAATTGATTTGTGTAACCAACAAATCAATAGTATCATAAGTATGGCTACAAAATAAAAAAAAGAAAAACAAGGGTAAACAGTGATGGAATAAAAATAAGCAGATCAAGGGAAGTGTGCTATCATAAAATAACTGTAGCTTCAACATCTTGAGTACCAGTTTACTGGCAGATACTGAACATCCAATCACAAGGGATTTTTCCTGAAGGGTGTAAAGCTGGTTTGAAAGTTCTTCAGTCACAGAGCAGCCTACACATGCCAATTATAAACTGACAGACACTAGATGTGCTTGGAAGATTAAACACTACGTACAGAAACAGCAGTTACTAAGCTCCTCAGTAGTTTCTTATCTTTTGTTTTTTCATTTTGCTGAACTGACAGCACAATGAATGTGCTATAGTCTGTGGGTCAAAACCAAGTAAATACTGTGTAAAGTTGGCAGATGGTCATTTTTCCAGCTAAGATCAAGAAAAAAACAAAATTTCTGATAAAACAGAGGTTTTGAGTCAGAATCACTCTCTAAAGTGCAAAATTGATGGTCCATAATCTCAAATAGCTAAAACTCCTGCAGAATGGAAGGGAGAGACATGAAACAGGGAAATAAATTACAGTCAGTGCTAGTTAATTTAGGAAAAGGGAAAAATAAACCCAGCTTAAGTAGGTAAAGTTTATCAAAATATTCAGTGACGTAGCTTTCCCCACTCTCTGTCACACACGCTTTCTAACAAGTATATTAAGGCCAAATTTAACCTGAATGCATTTTTTTTTATTAAGATCTGAGATAGGAACGGTCATACTTAGTACTGAAAGGTAGACAATAAAATGGGCCATGAAAGGGGCAGGGGAAAGGTACTGTCTCCTGTTCAAAGGATTCAACCAGAGATAAAACCTATATACAAGCATGTGTGTAGCTCGAAATAAAAATAAAAGGACTATTTCATGTCATGACTGCTTGTTGGCTTCCTCTTCATATGCATTCCCTGTGCCATTCTGTACATAGGATGAACCAGAACCAAGGCCATACAAATGACCACAATATTTGGCATCATCAATATGATCTTCAAAGAACATCTAAAAAGGAATTTTGAAGAAAAAAAAAAGATAATTTTAACCAAAAGGTACCACTTCTAATTTATATTTCAGCAATGTAAGTACTGCCTGTTCATTAATGATAATGACAGCTCTTTTCTATGGTGTTCCTTTGAGGCTACACATTTAAGTTCAATAAGACTAATGTCCTCAAAAGTACAGAGCTCAGAAACCAAAGAAAGAGACTACCAAAAAAAATGTATAAATGCATGTCTTTTCCATTAACATTTAGACCATTGTTATAAGAATTTGTAATCAAGGAAAAATAAATTTTTTATTCCATTAATTTAACAATACTCAACAGAAAGAATGAAGAAAGCCAACGATGGTAGGAAAGAAGTTTAGGTTCATAAGCTGTCCTTAGTCTATGTGCAAGGCTGAGCTGCCGATAAATAAACCCTAAAGTTAATGGACAGTAAAATTTGAATATTCACACTATATTACTATCCTTGAAGAAGCCAAGAAAAATAAAAATAAATTAGTGCCAGAAATCTACCTTCAGTTAAACCATTATGACATTTTTAAAATGCAAAGCTAAAAAGTCCAAAAGGTTGTTTCAATTATCTAATGAAACAATGGGAAGGAGTCCAAAACAAAATATTTACGTGTCATGAATGGACGGTCCAAGTCACTTCTGAATCAGTACTACTCAGCAAAACAGCTTTAATACTTTCTATTAATACACTGCTACAAAAAGTTAAATTCTCAGCCTCAGTCAATAATTTAATGTCTAAGAGAATATACTCGAAATCTGAAGTGAATTTTTGCTTAAGGGAAAACTTTGGTATAGGCAAGAAGAACCTCACTTACTTTGTTTCTGTACATCCAATTTTCCTTTCTGTTTACCTATACCTAAGTGAATCTGTGCATATCAATTACTAACAGTAGATATGGGTTCATTAGGTTTCATTTTTCCATACCTAACATTTTATACTCAAGGAACTGATCTCTGCCTTTTAAGGAGGGTTTTCCTAATATGGTTTCTGATTCAACTACTACATTGGATTTATTTAATCCCTTCAGAATTCAACCCCCACTTTTAAGACTCAATCCAGTAAAAATCCTGAGTGCTACTCTACAAAATCTTCAAAGCAGTGAAGAATGACATGAGCAAATAATATTTTTATCACCAGTTTAAAGCCTAAAAGAAAGTTATGCTAGAAGAAACTTAAAAATCTTTGCCTTGCAGAAGGATCACTGATGGAGTCTACAAAAAGAACTTTGGATTTTTCCCACTAGTAATGTGTTTAATTATGGAAGTTATTAGCCTGTTTTCTCACCTGAGAAATAATATAGTTGGACCTACATGATTTCTCAGGTAGTTTATTGTTTTAAAATTTGGGGTTCTAGGAAGAACATGTTCTCCCAGTTCCTTATGAACTACACTTCAAGATGACTTATTTTTGAATACTTTAAGTGTGGTGGATATGACTCATATGCTATCTCTAATTATATCTTTACTTAGTAGGTATGTGTTGCCCAAAATCTTTGGCCATTACAATTTTTTATGTTCTCAACCTAACAACCAACTGAGAAAAAGGCAGTGATGTCTTCATACTTCTCTCATTTTGAAAAAGGCCATTCCTGTGAGCAATGAATCAGATCCTGCCTGATGTTGTGGTCCTATCCGTTCCAGCTCTAACTGTTCTGCCACCTCCTGTAATCCACCCTAGAAGAAATAAAAATTGCTTGTCAAGGAGAAAAATATTCCAACACCTTTATTATTCAAAATAAATTTTATTTTGAATAATAAGATGATTATTCAAAATAAATTTTGAATTCAAAAATTATAAACTTAGACAGTGACCAAAATAAAAATAAACTTTAGTATGTAAAGGTGAACCTTATAAAGATTAGGGGGAAGAAACAGAGAATGTGAATTACTCATGGAAAACAAGATCCTAATTGGGAAAATGTATCTTCATCATATGTTTCAGGGCATATGACAGGTAAATAACATTACTAGAGATAGGAGGGAAGCAGACCATATATAGGGTAATATTTATCAACTATACTCATAGTCTATCAATCCAGTAATAATTATAAAACTGAATAGCTAGTATGACACAATTTTTTTCAAATTTTCTTAAACTTCCCACCAGTCCATTTGTAGTTTTACACTTAATTTTTACAAAACAAAGCCATTATGAATAACCAAATCATTAAGAATATGCTACATGCTTAACTATGGTTTTGTTAGTTAAAACAAGTTAGTTAATACAACTCCTTAGAGTGGTCTGCTATAATCCACCTATGTTAATACTGCTAAGATTAAAAAAATGAGAGTGGAAAGAAAGAAAGGAAAAGACTGTTATAACAGAGAGAAGGAAAAAGAGAGGGAGGAGAAGAAAGGAGAGTAAAGGGAGAGAAGAATGAGTGAAGGAAAGAAACACCAACAACAAAACAGAAATTCTTCTCTATATTGTTAAGGCCTCCACCAGTAAACTAGCCCTTCTGCACATCCCGGCTTAAAACAATGCTTTGCACAACAGTTCCTTCTGTGCAGTCGCTTCTGTGCTAAAAACAGCACGAGGATTAGGTATCATTAGCAGCTGCTTAGGAGAACAACAGAACTCAACAGAACAGCATGGCTGACTATAGGTCAGAAGGCACCTTTGTCGTTAACCTGAATTTTAACACAGCAGCTCACTCAGGACACATTCAGAGAATCTGTACTTAGAAACTTCCCAGTAACACACACATAGTGAGCAATATTTTGGTTCCCTGGTCCTGAAAACTGTCATTATACAGATATGTCAATTAAAAAAAAGTTTCCTGAGCCAGATGAAAACATGTAGGACCTGGATTATCAGCATGCAGTGCCAAAGAATGGACTGAGTATCTCAAGTAAGGGATGCCCTGTGGCAAGTTCACTTGCTGGAAGTATAAATCTACTGCTACAAACATAAAATAATCTTTCTTAAAAAATTCTCTAGTCACATGCTGACCATGTCCTGTATTAAAAAGCAAACACTGGCCAAAACAATGTTTCTCATCTTCAGTTGTCTGTTAAGACCAGCCTGACCAATACAGTGAAAACCGGTCTCTACTAAAAATACAAAAATTAGCTGGGCGTGGTGATGGGTGCTATAATCCCAGCTACTTGGGAGGCTGATGCAGGAGAATCACTTGAACCCAGGACTAAACTATATGGCTGTAACATTCCTTTTCTGGCCAAAAGATGTTAGCTTGTTACGGGTAAGTACTATAGGAAATATGTAGGTCCTGCCTAGATAGTAGTAACATTCTAGGAGGCAGAGATAGCAATGAGCTGAGATCACACCACTGCACTCCAGCCTAGGAAAAAGAGTCCCTCTCAAAAGAAAAAAAAAAAAGCGAAGTTTCCTTATTTAATTCCCATGTTCTTCCTGCTTAAAGCAAAAGTCTTCAAGTCTTCACCATCTAAAAGTATAACTTTACTTGCACTTGTAAAACCTGATGAGGTGAAAATCTGATCAACCTTGGTTTCACTGAAGAAAGAAGAGACGATGCAGGTTCTAGAAATCAACCACATTGCCTCAATGTATTTTTGTTTCCTTTTTTAGTTATAGCTTAAATGAGTACACCTAAGAAAGACAAAACCACTGTATTCCCAGGGCCCATCCCACCAGAGGTAATTTTGTTCTCAAGGTGAAAGAGCATTTTCACCTTATCAAAGAAAATCTCCTTTTGAAAGAATGTTTAGAATTTAAAAATACATGTTATGAAGCGTCAGGATATTACTACTGTCTAGGCAGGACCTACACATTTCCTGTAGGACTTACCTGTAACAAGCCAACATCTTTTGGCCAAAAAAAGAATCTTTTAGCTATGTAGTCTAATCCTAGAAACATTATCCTATCATTAGAACTGACAAAATAATTTCTAGCTAAGATAAGGCAAAAGGAAAGAAAAACTCTTGCCACACTACTGAATACATCTGCACATCGTTGGCCACCTTAGATTCTACCTTGTAAGACAAGATTCTGTGCGTGTTGGGAGAAAGAAAGAACTCACACTGGTGTACATATGAGAGCCTCACTGTCCTCAAATTTTTGTTTGGTTTCTGATTTTCAATCTGGCAAGCAATGACAAGAATCTGACCTGAGCCTCAATTGTGTTGAAAACTAATTCTGCCTTCTGCCAAGATACACTGAAGCTCTGAAAAAAGGATTTCCTACAAATTATCATTTATGCAAGAAAAAGAATCACATGACCAGATAACATAATTGCATTTAATGTAATACTTTAAAATATGGTTTAAAACAACACCCCAGCCTAGAATCTCATGAGTCACTTGGTCTGAACAGTGTGCTGTTACAGATAAAGCCACGTGAAGCCTTACTTTGAGATTTTTGCAGCTCTTCATGAGGTACTTCACATCATAAATGACAGGAAAAAACAATCTAAGGATCTCAAAGAAGTCAAGTTCTTCTTCAGGCAAGTTAGAGTTGGTCAGAATTTTGATTAAATAGCCAAAGTCGTAACCGCTATAAAAGGGTTAAAACAGAGAAGAGGGAAACATAAATACCATAAAGATTTAAAAAAAAAGTTTTTCTGATTCAAATTTAAGCAAGTCATATTACAGCCCTTCCAAAAAAATTAAAGAGAAGTGCACACAAAAACAGAGAAAACAAACATATTTAGGACTATAATGGGAAAATGCTGTCATCTTACAACAGTGTTAAGAATTTTATCACTTTATTATTCAGAGACATCAACACAGATCTACACTACCAAACCAAGCCTGTGGTCACTAAAATACTATTTTGCTGATGCTTGAATAGAGAACACCAAAGAGTATCAAACTGCCCAAAGATGTCTCAAAAAAATTTTTTCTAATAACTATGAAAATAGAGAAATAAAGATGAATGGAAACTTGGCCAGAAGAGTTAGCAAATGTAGCAGAAGAACTGGCATTCGGTAGGCCAAAGTAATGCAAGTCATTCCATCTTTTACAGAAGGTGGTCATATACTTTATCCAAAGAATAAGATTCTAACAAGGTATTTTCACTTCTCTTACGTGACTTTATGAATAAGTAGGCTCTCCCTCTCTTCCTTCACAATTCTGGCTCCCTTAGAGTTATTATTAATGGAAATGTTGCACATGAAAGAAGTGTAGTAAAAAATAAGAACTACTCTCCTAGACAAAAAAATACAAACTCCTACACTCTCAAATCAAGACCTCTTATCCCTTCATCTGGACTTTTCCACAGCTTTCTGTCTCCCTACACCCCCAGACCAGTTAGACACTCCCATACCTTATCTATCTTTCCTTCCAGGATTTCTGACAGGAAGTCTATATGGCATTTGCCTACTAACATTAAAAGTACAATTACATTAGCATTTAGGATTTATAAACTTCTTAAACTATTCTTTATTATTAGAAATAGATTAGAATATGAGGAAAACAGCTAATGATATTTAATGCAATAAAATCTGATCATATCTTGATAAATATTCAAATATATCAGTCTTAGATTCTAAACTCCAAGAAGACATAAATGAACCCCGCTTTTGTTCATCTTAATACCCCAGTACCTAGTACACTGTATTTTGTCACAGTATTCTTTAAATGAAAGGGTATGTCATATATAGTAAAAGGGTAGGACACTACTTTCTAGTTCTTTTGTATCTTCATGTCTAGGAAGTAAAAATGACTAAAAAAAAGTTTTGTATTAAGAGTCTTTAAGTTGTGTCTCCTAAGGTATGGGTTCAAGTGGAGAAGAGACAAAAAGATGGTAGGTGGAGTGTGTTCAGTACCTACAGCTCAACAATTTCTGCTTAGTACATATCAAAGTTGCCCACATGAACCGTCCCTCACTATAAACATCCCACAGGTCACAGCTGGAAGCTAAACCGTGCAGGAGATTCAGATTTAAAATAAATGTGTGAAACAAACCAAGTAAAAGAGTATTAACACCTATGTAACACAATGCTTTTTCAAAACCTAACAAAAGCCAAATAAAATCATTCTGAAGGTTACTTTAAGTCCCTGGATCATCAGTTTAGTTTACTTAGATAGGAAGACTCTCATACATGGAAGTCTATTTTCACAAAATAGGAACTAGTTTCCTTACCAGAAACACTCTTAAACAATCTAGTTTTATAATAATAAAGAATTAAAAACCACCACTTATTGATAATTTACTGTTTATAAAGTATTTTATTGACTTTTAAAACAAGTCTTCAAGATATTTCTTCTAAGGGATGCCTTATCACATTTAAAAAAAAAATTAAATTCCATCTACACACACACCCCTAGCATTTTCTTTGCTGTTTCATTTTAGATAGTACTTAGCACTATCTAACAAACCACAATATGAACTCCATTTTTAAAAAACTGTCCACCCCCATCAGGATATAAACTCCATGCGGACAAGAATTTTCATCTGTTTTAGTCACAGCTTAATTCCTAGAATTTCATCACAGTGCCTGTCATATGGTAAATACTCAATAGATTTTTGTGAATGTAAATTAATGGTTTCCCTTGTAGAGCATTAAAAACTAAGGTGTAGAAATAGAAAAAGAAAACCCTGGGCAACACCAATTCCAAACGGCATTGCTGGATTTAAACTAGGGCCTTTCACTTTCTAGGGAACCTGTACTCTTTCTACTATGCAATATGCTTCTCACAGGCAAAAATGGATCCCATATTTTAAATTAACCTTTAAGGAGACCAACATTATTAGCCTTCTAAGAATTAGGTGACAACTCTATATGACAGTCAACTCTTTCTAGAATTAAGCCTGAAATTGCTAACGTAGTGACCAAAGTCAGTGTGGAGCAAGTATGAGATGGAAACACAAATGGCATTTTCAATGCAGTCGTTTTACCTGTGAAATGACAACCATTTGACCCCTTCACAGAGGACCACTCCTGAAGTCATAAGAAGTTCTGCGAAGTACTGGGTCTCAATTCCTTCTTCCTCATGTTTTTTAAACTGGATACCAGATGTTGTTAGTAGCTCTATAGAGTCCTGGGCATACATGTCCTCCCTGGCAGAAGAAAGAGAAAGATTCAAATATGCCATTACTTCAAACAAGCTGTTCTTCTGCTTACATCTGTAACTACAGTGCCAATAAGGAGAAAGAGGATTGGCTTGAGTCCAACTGTTTCAATGCTTTACATATGTGCAAGAAAAATGCAATTTAAATGCAAGAGTCATTGTTTCAGAAAAGTGTTTCAAACAATAAAAAAATCATTCAAAGAGTTCAATGGTGCAATTTTAATCCTTACTATTAACTCAATTTCATTAGCCTTTCATATTTAAATACATTTAACTGGGTTTGGAAAAAGGGTCTTCTACTCACCAGGGGCTACCACCACAGACTGACAGACAACTTTTTTCAGAGACTCTTAGTCTTAGCAGTCATTGCAATGCTGCTAGGTGGAGCCGCAGCCACGGCTGTGGAGGATATGCCCACCTCCCATGGTCTCAGCAGCACAAGGAAGGAGACTCAGTGGAAAACGTCTCATGTGGTTGAGTTAAACTACACTTCATCTTTAAGAAGAAAGAGATGCCTTTCATAAATGATGAGCCTTGCAAATGGCTCCAATAAGCAACACTGTTTAAAGTTATGGACTATGCTGTAATAGCAATAATTTCTTCTGTAAACAATCCTATTCCTAAAAGATTGCCTTATAAAATCAAGCCAGGAAATCTAAATATAAGCCAATTCTTCAAGATATCACTTAAGCTAAAAAGAAAGCCATCTCTAATTTTCAACCACAAATTTATGTGTATCTGAAATATTAAACCAAAAGTTACCAAACACAGTATATGTATATCTGAAATATTTAAAGTTATTAAAATACAGATGTATTTTTGAGAATAAATAAAAATGCATTTTGTGAATCTGCCATTTTTTATTTACTCCTTAAATTGTAAGAATAATGGGTTCTACCTCTTGGCAAAAGGAATTCCTATTAAACACTTTAAACAAAACTAAACCAAGGGTATATTTCACTTGGGTCAAAAAGCATTCTTATGGTTTGTCCTTTGGAAATCATTTTTAAATGTCTGAAAAATTACAAAGCTAATAATGGAAATATTTTAAAATAGAGGAGAACTACAATAATCACTTAAAAGTAAGTTTCCCCTGGAAAATCCTTTAGGAAAGGTAACAGAATAAACCCAGTAAAATAGTTTTTTGTTTTTTCCCCAGTTAAACCACAGCTTTCCTAAGCTAAAAATACGTACTCAAGAAATTAGTATTTCAGTCATCAGGTCCCAATGCTCACAATGAGGTATGCTTTAGCAACTATAAGCAACCAAAGCCATAAAAAAACAGATTCTTCCCCAGGCTCACATCACTTTTGGCCATTTGCGAAGGTATAGGTAAACAAGTAGTTTCAGACCTTTTAAGTTTCCAGTAACACTTTTCACCTGTTTACTTGCAGCATATGGCTTCACCCTACACTTGCTTTACAAAGAAATATCAGATCATCAACATTCCTGTCTTTTTTTTACATCAACCCATCTATCTGAAGATTTTTTTCCTTTAGACTCCGAAGACAGCTTGCCTCATCGCCAAAGCTAATTGCTGCCATTCCTCAAAGTACTTGTCAAGTGTCTATCTTTATCCTAACACCCTGCAACTCAACTCTTGAACACTCAAATATGTCTGTGTATTATCTATAAAACAAAATAAAAACCACCCTTCTGTTGATTCCACGTTCCCTGTTGAGACAGGGTGTGGCTGTCATCCAGGAAGCACTGGCTTGAACACCACTCACTACAGCCTTGACCACCTGGGCTTAAGCGAGCCTCCTTGTTGCAGCCTCTCAAGTAGCTGGGACTACAGATACGCGCCACCATGCCTGGCTAATTTTTGTATTTTTGTAGAGACGGGGCTTTGCCATGTTGTCTAGGCTGGTCTACTGAGCCCAAGCAATCTGCCTGCCTTGGCTGCCAACCTGCATCCCAAAGTGCTGGGACTACAGGCGTGAGCTACTGCAGCCAGCCTCCCTTCTTATGGAACTCACTATCTCCTTTTCACTGCTACTTTCCTTAACTGAAGCATCAGCTTCCTTTCTGTTACCACTGAACTGAAGATGCCCTATAATTTCTACTGCCCTATTAAAATGATTCTCTCAAATATCAAGAATTACTGCAATCACCAAAATAGATGATTTTTTAAAAATGTGTTCTAATCCTCTTTGACTTATCAGGGACAATATTTCCACAGACTGCTTTTCCTCTTCACAGCTCCTCAATACTCCACTTCAATTTTCATCGGTACATCAACTCCAGTTTGGAGAGAATTCTCATACATTGATTGGTATTAACAACTGTTAATTGTTAGACGCTGGCAATAGAGAGGAAACAGAAGAGTTACAAAACACTGAATTATAAAGACCATGACCAACTTTCCTCAATACTGTATCTCTAGTGTCTAGCACTGTATCTGACACTCATTCTACTCACTCCATTGGGAAGTCAATTTTGACTTTCTTCAAAATTTCCAAGATTCTGTTGATGGCGCTCTCTCTGTATTAAGCACTACTGGTTTATCTTCCAAATGACCTTTCCACCTAATGTTTTTCACTGTATCCTTCTCCTTAAACATCTCCTAACATCAGCGTAAATCAAGCTTGTCCAACCTGCAGCTCGTGGGCCGCATGTGGCCCAGCATGGCTTTGAATGTAGCAAATTCATGAACTTTCTTAAACATTTTGAGTTTTTCTTTTTTTGCAATTTGTTTTTCTTAAGCTCATCAGCTATCATTAGCATTAGTGTATTTTATGTGTGGCCCAAGACAATTCCTCCTCCAATGTGGCCCAGGGAAAACAAAAGATTAGACACCCCTGGTGTAAATGGTAGCCAAACTTCATAGTAAACTTTAGCAGGCCTTTCTAAGAAAGAAAAAAAAAGATCCTCACTTAGAGGATCTACTAATAAAGCAGTTTTTACTAGAACAAAGGTGTTTCTAGAAAAGGAAACTGCCAATTTTACCCAAACTGAGACACTGATGGATTACCTACTTCTCATGTACTGAGATAACAACATTATCTAATTTAAAAACAATGTTCTAATTCATCTGAACAAAAAGTAACAAACTAAAGAACTAACTTGAATAAAGGTTTATCATTTGAGAAAAGGATAGGAGGCAATTTTCACAGCGTTTCAAAGCTGTAGTTCTTATACAAGGTTATCAGTTTGAGTGGAAATGAGTACTTTTCACCCTTTATAAAAGAGGTGTCCAATCTTTTGGTTTCCCTGGGTCATACTGGAAGAACTATCTTGGGCCACACATAAAACATACTAAGAAAAAAAAACTCATGTTTTAAGAAAGTTTACAAATTTGTGTTGGGCTGCATTCAAAGCCATCCTGGGCCACAGGTTGGTCAAGTTTACTTTATAAGGTTCTATAGTGTGTGTGTATGCGTGTGTGTGTATAGATATAATGTGTGTGTGTGTGTAAATAGATACAGGTATGTTTAGAGACAAAGTATCACTCTGTTGTCCAGGCTGGAATACAGTGGTGCAATCTAGCTCACTATAGCTTTGCACTTCCCGAAGTTCAAACAATCTATTTGGATCGGCCTCCTTAGTGGCTACGACTACAAGTACACAGCCACCATGCCTAGCTAAGTTTTAAATTTTTTTTTTTTTTGGAAAGACAGAGTGTATGTTGACCAGGGTGGTCTTGAACTCCTGGCCTCAAGCAGTCTGCCTGCCTTGGTTTCCAAATGGAGAGTATAGTGTTAAATCCAATAGAAAAAAAAAAAAAAAAAATATATATATATATATATATATATATATATATAAAATCCAATAGAGGGAAATGGAGAGTCAGGCTAAACACAGTGTAATTATAAGCCGTAACTGTACCACAGACATCCTTACTCTGCTTTTCCTAAGCCATACTTTTGTAAAATTGCATATATTAAATATCACATTATTCAACAAAGAACAGGAAGAAAGAATCCGTACACTGGCACTACCATTAATTGCTTACAGCTTCTTTTACTACTTTTCCTAACCAATATGAGAATATATAACACAAACGTAGGATATAAAAAAGAAAAACATTGCAATACTGCAACATATGGTTAAGTACTCACTCAACAGTATCAGTAAGTTCTTGCAAACTGCAACTTTAAGCCAAAAGATGGATAACAAAACCAGTTTTACCACAGTCTAATTGATAAAAACAAGAGTTAAGTTCCTATGGTATATTTCTGGTCACAAAAAAAAATCACCAAACTTCCAAATAAAGATCAAAATACTTCTAATATTAAACACTGAAATAAATGTGAGCTCTATGTACATTTAAGAAGATTAATAAAAACAAGTAAGATAATCATTTACTCCATTATTCACTTGAGGGCTGAAAAACGCCACAGCCTATTCTGCCAGCTCAGGACACAATGTTGGAAGCAACGCTGTTCAGGATGTCATTCCGTGGCATGATGCACTCACACGGATAACCTACCCACTCACACTGGGACAACTTAGCCACACAATTTCAGGTAACATGCACAGCACTGGGATGTGGGAGGAAAACAGAGGACCCGGGAGAAAATCCACATATACGTGAGAACGTGCAAACTCCACACAGGTAGTGGCCCAGGTCAGGAATCAAATTTTATTTTTTATGAATGTTACCATGAAACAATGTTGAAGAAAATGACATTTGAGGTCCTACCGTACTTAGGATATATTAAATATTTTATTTACTCAACTTACAGTTTGCAAATAATCTGTCCTTTTCCAAAAACACTCTAAAACTTCCCTTAGTTACCAAGACTACTTCTACTAATGATATAGAAATATTATAACTAAAGAAACTGGGTGGAGACCTAGGGCTTGAGTTACAATGCAGAATCTGACATGATAAACACCAGGTTCAAGGACACTACTACTTCTCCTATATGTGAATTAAGAGAGGCTTTGTGGGCTGAAGTGGGATTATAAAACCGACTTGAAAAGAAACCGTACCCAAGGTTCCAAGGCACATCTTACTGCATTTGACATGTAATCTACTCATAAACTGGAATGACTGCAATAAAAATCTTTACAAGAAGCATAAATATTACAAATGAAGTCTATACTTCAAATTGAACACATAATTTCTGAAAGTAAAACTAATGTGGTAAGATTATTTTTTCTATCAGAAGTATGTTCAATATCCAAAGTTTTCCAAATACAAAAAAAGTGGCAGTCATATTTTAAATATAAAATCTGTAATATCAAAAGTTTTTTTTTTTTTGGTCCTACAGTAAAAAAGAAACCCACGCTTTTGAAATATTACCTTTTATATGTTTCCAGGATAACTACACCAAATTCACCAAAAAGCACATCACCATACTTTAAGAAAAATTAATTCCTAAGATTAAAGAAAAAAAAAAGTCTGGGTTATACAGTTATTTCACACTTACGTCAAATTAAATTTAAAATTAAACTGCCATGTTGAAGTTCCTGGAGGGTATTCTCCTTGCTCATTCATAAATGTCAGTCCTAGCTGAATTATCTTTAACAAGTCTACATTACACCGCAGTAGTTGGTATTGATAGTCAGCATTGCTCCTGAATTCTCCAATGGGTCTTGCAACCACACCTGGAAATTCGGTGTCCTGTAAAAGTTTTAAGATTCATTATGTACGAAACAGTCACAACCACAATCCACACACTCTTACTCATTTTTGATGCAAATCAAAGAATCCTACAGGTGATGTTCTACACATTTATATTCAATTACAAAGTATCTTTTAACTGGAAAGAACATTACTTTTTAGAACCATAAAACTCTACAAACATAATAGCCTTTTCTTAAATGTATCCAAATTACTAATATGAGATACATGTGATAAATGTAACCAAATACTTACTCTATACCCAAGAAAGGGGGAAAAATCATAAATTTCTAACTCCCAAAGGATAGGTGAAAGGAAGCTCAAAGTATTCCAATGCTAAAATATTTCTTGAAGAACTGGTTTAAAAGAGTGGAAAATGCCTGTACTTTCCAATTGCTTCTCTGAGACAAGGTTTTTCTCAACACCAAAATCCTAAGAAAAACATCATTAGCCTCCTAATTTCTCTGGCCAAAACAATATTCTCTCTATAGTCCACAGAAAGTATACTGTCAAGAACTGCATGCCACCCACTCACTCTTGTAAGATGTTATCACTTCTCTACGCTGCCACTCTTTATCATCTGAGAAATCAATGCTCACTATGAATTTCCATTGGATAAGAAAATAATTTTAGTTCTAATCATGGGTAAGTACACCTTTATTAAATAGTATATCTACATAGAAACATTCATAGTTTAACCAATCAACCTGCTCCTCCCTAAAGTAATGTATTTGTTTATTTTTATTAAAAATACTGAGACAAAGATACAGCAGTTTATTATTAGAATTCAAACCAGGGCTAAGAATAAAGAGTACGTATCAAGTCACTATAAAACAGTGAAGAAATTAATATTTCTCTAATTCAGTGCAATTGAACAGCCACTTTATTGGATACTATAAAACTCCTCTATTATGCTAAGAGTTGGGGGATGATTAAAGCACTAACCCCTTGCTTTATGGAGTTAATAATAATCTAGTGGATCCAGAAAACAGCAGGGTAGCTAACAGACACACACAGCACTGCATAATGGTAAAGAAGAAAAATCATCAACTGGGTAGACATCTAGGCAGACTGAACAGCATGTGCAAAAGCAGAGTTGCTTAATAACACAGTATATTCATGGAACTCCAGTGTTAATCATGAAAACAAATTGCAGACCAACAACATTTCACTGGCACATCGGAGTTTTTTGTTTGAGAAAGAGCTCTCTAGCTTCTGGGAGCTGATGTGTTACTATCAGCTAGGCATCAGTGTTAATAGGAGCAGACCGGGTGGCCACAGCTAGGCCCTAATGTTCTCCTGTTGAACGTAATTTCGCTGAAGTTCAACCTCAAATAAGGCCCTCTGTAATCCTGTCTGAACAAGGACAAAAAAAATAAACATGTCAAACTACAAAATGACCAAGTATCTCCATCCTGGCTAAATGAATGACTATTCCTTCTCTGCAGCTTTAGCCTCATTCTAGCATTCCAGTCTCTAATTTAAGACTTATTAAGATATCCAATCACAGAATTACCTCTGCTTCCTGACCACATCCAATCCATAGTAAAGCCCTGCTTCCTTAACTCTTCCCTAAGACCACCTGATGCAAGCCCAAATCCTTTCTAATACTCTCTTTCTCAAATGCCCTATGGTTCCCATGAATTCCAATGTGTTTTCCCTCACTGCAATGAGGGATAAACCCAACCTGTCAAATCACAGGTGTATTCCTGATGGCTTCTGGCTGGATGATAGCGACTTATTTTTCTTTTCATGGTGAAATTAATCTCTAAAAATATCAACCAAAAGGGCTGAATTCAAGATTTTAAAATCTCCTTTCCCTCCTTTATATGAAGTGTTTTAAGATTTGCTTGTGGGCATACCATAGCAACGTAATTATATTTTCGGATAACTTGACGAATTTTCTTCATCTCTTCATCCAAGTTGCAAGCCCAAACTTCACAAATTCTTTGGCTATGATCTACAGTTGCTGCTGGCATAGTGAGGGCACAAAGGAGTCTAGATGCCAAGCATCAAAATGTTATACTTGATTGAAGATTTGTTTCATAAAATATTGTATTCTTTATTTATGTACCTGTCAAAATAAAAAACAATATAAAGACCAGATATTTCAAATCTGAATCACAGAATAATTAATCTGGCAGGAACCTTAGGAGTTATTTATTCAAATTTCTTGACTCATAAAAAAAACCAACGTTTAGCAAGTAACTTGTTTAAGGTCACACAGCTAGTTTGTAGAAAAAAAGGAACTATAGTACAGATTTCCTGGTCCTAATATTAGTTATTTTTAAAAAGTTTTTTTTTTTTTAATGCATACATACTAATCATATTTTTATAACTTTCCAGTAAAGATTTCTCGAGTTCAACTAACCCCCTGCATAAAACTTTATAAAGCCATCCATTTCTAGACAAAAATGAAAAATCACTTAAATACATGTGACAAGATCAGATATTACCATGCCAAAAGTGGTGTTTGCTTTTATTCCTCATCAACAAAACATCCAAAAATCCGACTTGATTACCAGATCTATTTTACTGGCATTTATTCAAACTAGACTAGAGAGGTCAAAAATGTTTGTAAATACTCTGAGAAAAAAATAATGGCAAAAGAAAACTGAATGTTCGCAGTTACAGAAGGGAAAAAGAACACAATAGAATGTCTGCATTTTAAATTGTTTTTAATTGCCTAAAAATCAGAGCATAGTCCCTGATTACCAAAGATACAGCTCAGATTTCTACTTTATATAGAGTTTAGGTTGATTCTTCGGCAGAGAAATTTCAAATTCTTCTGCATTTTTCATATAAATTGGAAAAAAAAAAAAAAGCATAACAAGAGTAAAAAGAGGGCCTTACGACTGTCTTCTAACCTCCGAAAAGTCAGAAATATAACTGAATTCTCCAAGTAAAGAAACCAAAGGAGATCCAGGACATCCCTCCTCTATATATCTCCCACCCCAATAAACACACACATACGCACACACACACACACAGACTTGGAAAGACCCTGTAGTTTTACACTGCTTTCCTCCACCTCTCTCTCTACTGCAGTCCCAAGAGCCCCGAAGAGGCACCGAAAGCCTTCTCATTACTGGAGACAGCATTTCCGTACTGCATGCAGGCTCTCAGAGAAATTGAGAGAACGGCACAGAGACATTCAAATCATAGATAACTCTCTTCCCTGGCAGAGTGCCAGTGCGAAGGCGCTGATAACACTGACTGGAGCTACACTGACTAGCGAGCACCGCCGCGTGAAGGAATACGAAGAGCTGAGACCTAGGCCATCGCCCTCCACTCCATCGCTACGAAGCCCCAGGTACAAAGCCTTTGCGTCATCACTACGCGCCAACCCTTTGACAAACCCCCAGCCCCAGTTACCCAGCCCCCCACCCGCCGCCAGACTCCTTCCTCAGCCAGCCGCACTCCAGCTGGCGCCATGGCGCACCCTCTCAGATTCATGGTCCCCGCCCCCTTCCTACTTCCCTAACCCTCCCCTCCCCCCGCAGGATTGCGGCAGATGCAAGATCTACTTGTGTCGCTGAGCTCGCGCTCCTCCTCCTCCTCCTCGCCATAGAGACAGCACCCGGCGGCGGTGACGGTGGCGGTAGCGGCGGCGGCAGCGGGTGCCCCATAGACACCTCTCGCCCAGCAAGGGGGAAAGGCGAGCCGGAGCTGCGCCGAACCGTGCTGCGCCGTCGCTTTTCGCACGTCCTGGCGGGGGCGCTAGATGATGACGTAGCACGCAGAGGGGGCGGGGCACGCAGGTGACGGCGGCGCGGCTGGTGGATCGCTGGGCGGTCGGACTGCCTGACTGACTGGCTTGGCGTCTGGGCCGTGAAAGTGTGACTGCCTGTTCTTGCCGGCAAGTTCCCCTCTCCAGCTGCCCGCCCTTCATAGCATGTCCTCCAGAACCCGGGGAGCGCAGGCAGGGCTGGCTTAGAGAAGACGCGGTCGCCAGCGCTTGGGCCACGGACGTCCCAGTCTCCTCCTCTGTCTCTGGAGAACCGCCGGGCCGAGCGGCTGAGAGAAGCAGGCCAGAGCCTTCCAGGGCCTCGGGCCCGGGGACCCAAGGAGGATGAGCTGGCTCTTTCCCCTGACCAAGAGCGCCTCCTCCTCCGCAGCTGGGTCCCCCGGTGGCCTCACCAGCCTCCAGCAGCAGAAGCAGCGCCTGATCGAGTCTCTCCGGAACTCACACTCCAGGTGACTGGTCGCTGCCTCTCCACCGGAAGAAAAAGTAGGGCGGGAGGGCGGGCTGCTCTTAACTACCTTCGCCGTCCCTCAGGTCTGCTCCCCAGCAGCTCCTCCTGTGGTTTACCTCCCGTGGTTCTGGGTCACACGCTTGCTCTCCCACTCCTGTCCCCTTTTACTGTTTTCCTCCGGACCCTCCCTGCCTCCTGCCCCACCACTGCTCAGCGCTTCTAACTCGGATTTGCTCATCCCTACTGACACATCGCTGCTGACTGTAATCTCTCTCAGTCTATTTCCAGTATCCCTTGCTGTCCCGGCTTCCCCACTAATCTTTCCCTTTGCTCACCTTATTGCCGCGTCGGCAGAATTGTTAAAATACAATTGCGAAGAGTAATCTCCAGGTTTCACAAAGAATGGAAAATAGAACTGTTGCAACATCAAAGGAAAGGGAAGCCAGAGTTTTCATCAGTGAATGCTTCTCGTTTGAGAGTCACGTAGTCTGTCCTCTTTGAGTCTCTAAGATGCACCCTGTTCCAGCAGCCTCTCCCCGTCTCACAGCTACCAGTGCCTGCACATTTCTCACGTCTTTCATAGTCTTGCTCCACACTCAAGAATTACCTTATGTTCATCTTGATTGTTCTGTTGTCTTCCTATGAGTTTTTCATTTTATCGTGGTCAGTTTAGAAATATATTTATAATTCATATTATTTCAACTCTTTTTACTATAAATTGGCTTGCTGCAGCCTTTTACATTGCAAAGGCCTGTGGCTTCTAACGGTTTTCAAAAATTATAACTGCTTCTTTATATTATACGCATTTTGCAAGTACATTAACAGCTTCACACTATTTTATATAAAGATGACAACGTTGTCGACATTGTTAAGTCCCTAACCCCGACCCTTTTTTTTTTCTTTTTTTTCCTTTTTTTTTTTTTTTTTTTTTTTTTGAGACAGAGTCTCGTTCTGTTGCCTGGGCTAGAGTGCAGTGGTGCGATCTCAGCTTACTGCGACCTCCACCTCTCGGGTTCAAGCAATTCTCCTGCCTCAGCCTCCCAAGTAGCTGGGATTACAGGTGCACACCACTATGGCTAGCTATTTTTTTGTATTTTTAGTGGAGATGGGCTTTCACTGTATTGGTCAGGCTGTTCTCAAACTCCTGACTTGATGTTATCCACCTGCGTCCGCCTCCCGAAGTGCTGGGATTACAGGCAGGTGCCACCTCACCCAGTCCCTAACTCTTTTAAAGATATTATTTTCGTACAGTTAAAAAATACATACCCTGAGATAATAAAATTGAATAATTCCTGTCCAAAATGGAATAATTTTAAATTAGATAGTCTTGTTAATAGAAAAATTCACTGCAAAATCAGTTTGGCTAAAATAAGGCCCGATGCTGGCTGAACTTCAGGTGTTTCTTGGTTCCTTGTCTCAATTGTTCTGTTTGTTTAGAACGTTCAAAAGGTGAAATTTTACTCTATTTAACAGAAAGGAATGGCAGGCTATTATTGGTGGCTTTCATTTTGGAAAGTTAAGTTCACAAAGTTCTTACAAGTCAGTCTTATTCCAAATCATGTTCAGTACTGAACTTTAAGAGCTACTCTCACAAGATATGCTTATTAAATAAGGTGACTCATTTTTAACATGTTTGTTCCCTTAGAAGTTAATACCTTGGTAGAATAGTTATGTACTGTACCAGTCCTGCTACTGCAGAAACACTTTTTGAGAACCACCCTTTTGGAATTAATTGCTTTTAAACCTTAGTAGATATTATTATGTTAAATATTTTCAATGCTGACTAATTTTTTTTCTTCGAGGTTGGAGTTTAATTTTTTAAATATTCCAAAGTCTCTTACTGCTAAGACTGGTAAGTAAGGAAAGCAATTGATCTGAAATTTATAATTGTGGACTACCAAATAAAGTGAAATTTTATAGAAGGAATTGTTAATGTAAGGAGTTCTGGAATTGGCTTAAGAGGATTAGTAAATACCCTGAATTGGTTGCAGAAAGGATTCATTTCATATATTATTTTTTGAACCAGAAATTTTGAACATATGATTGATTGGACACGGTTGCCGTAGATAATGTAATGTATTTTGTAGTGTTATGAACAAATAACTTTAAATATTCTTTTAAGTTTGTTTGTAAAAATCCTTGAAGTTTTATTTGAGATATTTTACATTTACAAATTATAGTTGAATAATTCTGGAGACGTTTAAGTAGGTCATATGCTTCCAGTTTTTCAAAAAATGGCACAATCCCAGAAAAAATGCCATTCATCTATTCTTCTTAGTCCATCCTTTTAAATAATGACATCTGATATATTTTTTTTGGCAATTTTAAAAAATTATACTTCTAATGACATCTATTTTTAAGCTAGGATGTAAAAATAATCTATCTGTATGGTATCTGATGTAAAGATGGAAGTGGTGTGACATCTTTCCTCATCAGTCATAAGGGGGACAGCTGAAACTCCTATAACAAAAGACAGGTAAACAAGAGAAAAGTATAACAGATTTATTTAATCAACGTTTTACACTGCATGGGAGCCTTCAGAGCTGAAGCCCAAAGACCCAAGGAAAACTGTTTATATTCATGATTAGCTTCAGTGAAGAATGGACAGCCATGCAGAAATGTGATTGGACAAAAGTATATAGTAATGGTAATAGACAGAGGTGGGGGAAGCCCACAAGGCCTATCTGTTCAGATTTTTCTTGGTGTCTCTGCATGGCATTCTCCTCTTCTAGTGTACGGCCTGGGACATCTGCGGAATGAGGGTCTTCAGGGCAGAAGGGAAAGTGAACTTTCTGTATTTATGTCCTTTGTAGGGAAGAAGGGTTCTAGTTTGTAATATACCACCTTGGGGAAGAGGAATTCTGGTTTCTGTGACTTCTTCAAGGGAGAAAGAAGGGCAGGAGAAGGTCAGAGAGAACTTTGCTTCTGAGGCTTCCAGACTTTTTAATTCAAAGTACTCAGTTTGCCAAAGTGCAATATTTTGGGTTATTGTTTCTGAGTCCCAACACTGGCAGTATGTTCCCTGATTAGCTAAATTAGTGATACAATTTTCACTTAAAGATTTTTGTGCAAACATATACCGATTGGTTATTCTAAAGGTATGGTGTGTAAAAGTTGAAAGAATTTCCAATTTTTTTATGAACTGTACAAAAACTTGTTACATGAGGAACATCAGTATCTTGTTAAATGCTGCCTACCTCCCTCATGTTTCATATTATGTCTTTTCTCCAAATGTAAGGTCAATAGGTGAATATCTTTTTTTGGCAGTGAAGGTATCTTTTTATGTCCTTATAATTCTGAAAATTCTACTTTAACAGTCTCTTTAAGTCTCTTTCTCTAATGATTATGGACTTCTTTTTAGTTGCCGTAAATTCTTATCTCCTCATCTTTCTCTGTCCTCTACAAAAAAATAGGTGAATTTTATGTATATTTCTTCATCTGAGTCTCACCAATATGCAGGGCAAATGAGATAACTGTCAGATGACAAAATTAAAAAAAAAAAAAAAGTGTTGTAGCCAAAGTGTTTAAGTCAGCTGTGAAAATAGAAACTAGAAATTATGTAGACTGGGCTCAAGTAATATGTTCTATCATCTGAGTAACAGTTATCACACTATTCAGTTTATCACCAAAATTCCTGACTTTATGGTCAGGAGTAGAACAAATTCTAATGTTTCTTATACTTCCTGAGGAAGCTGACTTTATGGACACTGTTGGTTTTTTCCTCTGTGAGGCCATATACTTTGTGAAGGCTGGGATCTTTCAACCCAGCCTCCACTGGGGGTGAGTAAGAATTGTTTACACCAATGGAGATGGTCTCGTCACTCTTCCTCCAAGTTACTGTGGAAGCAGGACTCTTGGTCAGTGGGTGTTGGAGAGCAATTCTGCTGGCAAACTGCTCAAAATGTTTTCTCAATAATAGTAAGAAATGTCTGGGAAGAAGAAATGTCTCATGTTTTGGATATTGTTACCTTAGACAACTCTGATCCTCCAATTCCTATCGATAAAATCAGGAATTGTGATTCCTGTCATGCAGGATTTTTGATAACTAAATAATATATTTAAGACATTTGGAAATGTATCTGGCACATAGTAGGCATATGACAATTACATTTTCTTTTTTCCACTGGATGGAATCAGTGTGCCTGAAACCTTTGCCTCTTAGCCTGTAAGCTTCTAGCCAGCTTGTTGTTTATGGATCTCTCATAAGCCTACCTACAACTCATTTGTCTCTGGCAGGACTACTTCTGACTTTCTGTTTAGAAAGCAAGTTCATTCCAGAGAGTTAGTTTCTTCACAAGTGGAATGAACCCATTTTGAAAGGCTTTAGGCATGATGCAGGTAAATAACCTAAAATATTATCTTACACACAGGAGATGTAAACAGCAGTAGTTATGTATTTTGTTAATAGTGCCATTCTCTGTAGTCTTTAAAAATTGTTTTACTACCTTCATTTGCTGCTAGTCTCCGG